TTTAATCAGCCTAATTATCTCCCCGCCTTTCAGGGCGTGAGTACCTAGTGACATAGATCCGCTCCACTGGATTCGTCTCGGCCTACTCACGGCCCTCCAGCCCAGATAATTCGGGGGTTAATTCAGCCCTCGGGTTAGGGTAAGTGAGTTCTCTAGCCGAGTTAATGTTCGGGTGTAGTTCAAGATCCCCCCCCCCCTCCTGAATGTTTAGCTGAAATATGTTGTAATTATACCCGGGGAGAATCTCATAGTACGAACCGCAATGGTACCTAAAAATTATACAAATCGTTTGTCATTATTTCCAATTTTCTAGAATTAAATTTGGCTTAGATTTTCTTTCATTTGATAATTGAAATGTACCCCATGATCCCAGCCGTGTATACCATCAGTCACAGAATAAATATTTTTTCAATTGGTGTGTACATAGAAGACTTAAAGCTTACAAATAGATGTGGGGAGACTTAAAGTTTACAAGCAGACGTAGGGAGACTTAAAGCCTACAAGCAGACGTGAGGAGACTTAAAGCCTACAAACAGACGTGGGGAGACTTAGGCTTGGAGGGAGACACATTTTTTTTTCTACTCATTGTGGTGGCTGCTGTTTAGACACTTCTTACGAAATGTGGGGATTTTGTTTTGTTGAATTCAATAGGAAAATTTTAACAATTCGTTAAGAGGCTCAACAAAAGACTAATCAGGCAATTAAGACGTTATCTTGTCTACGGTCTGCGTGCAGAATTGACATCCTTTGAAATTGTGTACTTAACTCGTACATTAATGAGCGAGGTCTGATTAGGCTTGTGGTATTTCTCCCAATATAGGCGAACATTTTTCACTTTAAATTAAAACAATTTCACACGGGCGTTTCGATCTAGACTGACGACAGACTGACGACAGACAGAGGAAGTGAGTTAAACTAAAAGCTTGTAAAAACAACAAGAACAACAACAACGACAACAACCAGCTACTCACAAGCAAGGTGATCAGTGATCAAGTAACTACTGGACAACACAATCTCAATTCATGACGTCACGGAATGTTGAATTCATTCGGTAAATGAACAGAGTTGACCTAACCCTCCCCCTCCTCCTCCGCACACCCACCCAATAAATCGTGACGCCAGAAAGCCACCGTTACTCCGGTAACATCCCAGTGAGGTCGGCTGTTGTGTTAAGATGGTGGTGATCTTAGTGGTGACGTGCACCATCGTCACGTGCGTGACGACACAGGAGACGTGGTGTTTCGTCACGTTTCTTTCGTGACGTCACATACGTCAAACATTCAGGTAGTTGAAATGTCGAACAGACTATCTCATTAAACAAAACCTGACACAAGTACACATGTGTTATTAATTTTTAATTAGTGCCTGACCTTAATTATAAGAATAAAATTTATGGTTTTATTCTATAGAAATTAATTTTTTTTATTGATTTGTATTCTGTAGGCATTACAATTTTTTATCAACTATAAAATAAAAATCGATGAGTAGAAGATTAGCAACTAGAGCTTGGGAATTAACCATTGGATTAAAGTAAAGCAAGGTTGGTGTACTTATCAAGGTACGCTAACCTATTTAACGTCCTTGTAACAAAGTGACGTCACAAAGCGTACTTGGGGTCAGTCAGCCAATGGCCCAGAATGATAAAAATCAAATATGGAGTTTTTATTCTCTGTGTGATCACAGAGGTGGCAAGCGCGAGGTGATGGGTGGTGGGGAGGTGGTGGGGTGAGTAGCTTAGTCGCACTTTGACGGAGATCGTCATAAGTCACCTTGCTTGGTCTTGCAACAAGTGCACGCGATTTGTGACTGCCCTGACCTAACGTCATCGACAGCAATTTGTGACAACATTGTGCTAACGTCATTGACAGCAATTTGTGACAACATTGTGTTGACGTCATTGACAGCAATTTGTGACAACATTGTGCTAACGTCATTGACAGCAATTTGTGACAACATTGTGTTGACGTCATTGACAGCAATTTGTGACAACATTGTGTTGACGTCATTGACAGCAATTTGTGACTACACCCAGCTAACGTCATTGACAATAAAAATAAATTTCGGTAATGTTTTTTTTTAAAACTTGAATCAAGTCTCTCAACAATTTTTGTAACGATGCAAGATTGTATCATGAAATATCTTGTACAAAACTACAAAATTGGACACAATTAGCTTTCTTAAAGAGGGAACATTTATAAATGTAAAAAAACAATGGTGAATCTAGATGCAAGATTTACGCAACTGAAACTTCAAAGTTTTATTTTCTCTACTTCACAATCACCCATACCAGGCTGTAATCTACCACAAAAAATTTCGATGCTGGTCTTTCCAACTTGTCCTCGAACCTGCAATTTTCTAGCCACCCTAGTCACTGTGTGCACTCGTGCGTGAAGCTGTGGTCAGCAGAGTGTGACGGCACTGTGATGCCTCTATATACATAAAAGTCATCTGAAAACGTGACTTGTGCAAGTTTTTAAGTCAAGCTTTAGGTTTTGAAACGCAATGAACGTAAATATTTTTGCTGATAAATTGCAGCAAATTTGAGTTTATTGGTCATTCCATGCACTCTTAATTTCTGTGTTTGACTTGCTAGTTTCTTTTTACTCTGCATTCTAATTTTCAAGATTGTTATAATAAAAAGGATTGAATAGAGAGAGTATTTTTTAGCAAAAGTGCACTATTACAATCATCATTTCATGTAAAAATTACACGCATATTTTAGAAATAAGTTAATTGTTTTCAACATAACTATGTTTTTCTATACGTTTTTTCTATTTAATCTAAATTGCACTTTTCTTCCCATCCCATAAGTTACTGAGTGCTTTAAACTAAAGGTTGCTCTGATACATGTTCTGATACATGCTCTGATACATGTTCTGATACATGTTCTGATACATGCTCTGATACATGCTCTGATACATGTTCTGATACATGCTCTGATACATGTTCTGATACATGTTCTGATACATGCTCTGATACATGCTCTGATACATGTTCTGATACATGCTCTGATACATGTTCTGATACATGTTCTGATACATGCTCTGATACATGCTCTGATACATGTTCTGATACATGCTCTGATACATGTTCTGATACATGTTCTGATACATGCTCTGATACATGTTCTGATACATGTTCTGATACATGTTCTGATACATGCTCTGATACATGTTCTGATACATGTTCTGATACATGTTCTGATACATGCTCTGATACATGTTCTGATACATGTTCTGATACATGTTCTGATACATGTTCTGATACATGTTCTGGTACATGCTCTGATACATGCTCTGATACATGCTCTGATACATGTTCTGATACATGCTCTGGTACATGTTCTGATACATGTTCTGATACATGCTCTGATACATGTTCTGATACATGTTCTGATACATGTTCTGATACATGCTCTGATACATGTTCTGATAGATGTTCTGATACATGCTCTGATACATGCTCTGATACATGTTCTGATACATGTTCTGATACATGTTCTGATACATGTTCTGGTACATGCTCTGATACATGCTCTGATACATGCTCTGATACATGTTCTGATACATGCTCTGGTACATGTTCTGATACATGTTCTGATACATGCTCTGATACATGCTCTGATACATGTTCTGATACATGTTCTGATACATGTTCTGATACATGCTCTGATACATGTTCTGATAGATGTTCTGATACATGCTCTGATACATGCTCTGATACATGTTCTGATACATGCTCTGATACATGATCTGATACATGTTCTGATACATGTTCTGATACATGTTCTGATACATGCTCTGATACATGCTCTGATACATGTTGGTCGAAAGAAGGGCTGTTGTATTGAACTTTCATAATTATATCATCTGTTTTACAGTAGTTTATAGATGTCTTGTTAACATTGTGTGATCGCTTGGTTACAAAGTTTCTTCCAGACTTTTTTCTCCGGGGGGGGGGGGGGGCACTTGAAATTTTTGGGGGGCGGGGGGGGGGGCGGTCAACATTTTTCGGGGGTGGGGGGCGGACATTAGTAAAAGTGTATGTTTACTATATAAAATCCATCTCGTTGGGGGGGGGGGGGTAGACTTCCTTCGGGGGGGGGGGGGGGGGGGGGCTCCGCCCCCCCCCCCCCCCCCGAAGAGATGCCTGGAAGAAACTCTGCTTGGTTAAACAAATTCTGATTTCATTATTCTAGAGTTGTTAACTGTAATGTAACATAGCAATAACGGACGTAGTTCGACTATGTCAGTTGTAACTTCTCTGAACTTCCAAAACTTCATTCGCAATAGTGCAATAAAATTAGTACTTTATAGAGTGATCTTGAATTAAATGTTGAATTAAATATATAATTATGTCCAAGTTTATGTCACATTGCATTGTCATTGGGTCTTGACCAACATGTCAAATTTAAAACAAATCAGTTCGGTAAAGGCTGAAATCTCGCTCGCAAGTTTCGACCCATGACAAGACTAAATCAATAAGCAGGAGGAAGCACGTCAAATTAAAACGCTTGTAAAATTAATATGCGTCCCTTCTGATTTAAACCACATCTTTATGTGAGCTAGCCATAAAAATGGGCAAAAATTATTGCGTGCACAATAAAACTCTGCAAACTAAGCCCAAAATAAAATACGAAGAAAAAAAAACTAACAAATTACAGATCTAGTACTTGTGTGTGAGTGCAGCTACAAAGTGCAGTTTTTTATGAGTGTAGCTACAAATTGTAGCTGAAACAGAACGATAATATATTACAACAGGAACTTGTGCTCGCTAGAAAGGCTGCCAAATTGACAACATATTTGGTCAAAAGTTCATCAACTCTCGGGTCATTTTCAAGGGTCAGCTGTAGAATCTAGCCCGTACTACTTTAAAGATTTAGAGAAACAAAAAAACTTTTCAACATAAGGTAACATTTCATAACACAAAAACATTTTAAAGCTGTTGCAAGCGTATATACAGTATGCTTAAAAAAAAGAAAAACTCGAAAATAAACAAAATAAAGAATAAAGGCATTTATTCACACAAGTAAACAAAGGTACATAACTCTAGTTGCGTGATGACGGAGTTAACCGAGACAAGGTTCTGTGCCTAGAGTCATCTCCCCTGTGCCGCCATCTTCCTCAAACACCACCACCACATTCTCCCCTGCCCTAAGCAGCGGACCCGGCACGTACAAAGTCTTCTGTGGTCCCACGCTCCAATAGCGACCTATGTTAAACCCGTTGACTAAAATGATCCCTTTCTTCCACCCGACAGTCTGAATAAAATAATCTTTTGGCTGCTCCTCCAGAAAAAATGTCGCTTTGAACAAAGCTGGACCCTTGACCACACCAGCCTCTAGTACATCTTCCCAACTCGTGGACTCTTGGATGGTGCTAGTAAACTCCGAGTTAAAGTCGAGAGCTAAAACTTTCCAGTTGCTGAGTGCCGTACCGTCCAGTCGAATCTCGCCGCTGATTCCTTTTCTCTGCGAGTTGAGCATGGCCTGGTTGTCCTTGGTGGTGTAGTTGACGCGGCCGAGGTTCTCTACCACCACATCCAGGACACTGTCCACCTGGTCTGGGTCGGTCTTGTCCAGCTCCACGCTCGGGTCCTCGCTGTCCCACGTGACCTGACCCACGGGGTCACCGTTGACCAGGACAGTTGCCCGGTCCCTGACAACCCCAGGCAGTGCCAGCCTCCCCCGGGGCGTGTGTTCTAGAACTTTCCTGTACACGATGTACCCGAACGACTGCACGTCATGTGTGCCGTACGTGTACGTCTCCATGTACTGTGGGTGGGCGGAGCTAGTTGTCTTGGTGACGGCCGCCGTCAGGTTTGACCAATTCATCACGTGATTAAATCTAATCCTCACAGGTTTCGTGGCCCTGTTGTTCTGATCAACAGGAAGACTGGCGCCATTCTTTAAGCCAAGTTTCCCCAGTTCCTCTTCAACAATCTCTTTGATCTTTCTAGACTTGTCAGTCATCTGACCATCCTCGGACAGAGGCGCGTCATAGTCGTAGCTGGTGACGTCAGGCTTGTACCTGGACAGATTTAAGGCCCCTGCCGTGAAGCCGAAGTTGGTGCCGCCGTGGAACATGTAGAAGTTGACGCTGGCGTCGTGCTGTAGGACGTAGCGGAGGGTCCTCTCCACCACATCCACGCCCCTGGTCTCGTGGGGGTACCCCCAGTGGTCGAACCAGCCCGTCCAAAACTCCATCACCATCAGCGGGTACTCGGGGCTGGTCTCTGCTATCCTATCGAAACTGGCCTTGACCTCTTCAACCGTTTGGCCGTTAGCTGTGGGAAGTACGCCGTTTAGGAATGGCGCGGTTTTGGAAGCTGACTCGTTGTCGGAAGTGACGAGAAGCTCTGTGATCTGATTGGTCAGCAGGATGTCCTTGATGAACTCGAGATGGGCGGGGTCATCGCTGAACGAGCCGTACTCGTTTTCAACCTGGACAGCGATGATTGGTCCGCCGCGTGAGTACTGCAGGTCAGCAATGTGGGGCAGCAGCCAGCCAAAGTACCTGGTCGAAAGGTCAAGGGCGTTAGTTTAAATTTAGATTTTCCAGCAAAATGTAATCTTATAGTTTGAGAATCTGAAGTTCAGTGACAAAGAAAGATTGTTTAATGTTCTTTGATGTGACAATGATGTGATTTACATTCAACAAGAAAACACAGCTATTACAAAAAACAAAAGAAATATCTTGTAAACTTCCCATTATGCTGTTATCAATAGTTATGGGGATCAATGGACAGATACACAAATCTTACATCTATCAGCGTTGGTAGAGTTATTAACCCCCTTTAGTTTTTATATCAACTAATGTCATTACGGTGCTGTCGCTAAACTGTGTACATGTAGTTACACATGTACACTAGAGGCAGAGGCGTAGCGACCCTTCCCGGCGCCCGGGGACATACTTTTAATTTGGCGCCCCCTTGGGAGCAAATTTTCGATTTGCACCCACCCTCGAACTTTTCATTTGCACCCCCCTCAAATTTTCGATTTGCACCCCCCCCTCGAACTTTTCATTTGCACCCCCCCCCCCCCCTCAAACTTTCGATTTGCACCCCCCCTCGAACTTTTCATTTGCACCCCCCCCCCCTCAAACTTTCAATTTGGCGCCCCCCCTAAGGTCGGCGCCCGGGGACATATGTCCCCCCCCCCGCCCCCCCCCCTCGCTACGCTACTGACTAGAGGTAACACACCAACAGACTGGCGTGTGTCAAAACACAGTTGACCCAATTGTAAAACAATACTGAACGACACAGAAAATATGAACGTGTCTAGATCTCTATACACAGCCCAGGTGATAAGATAAGAACGGTCTCACAGGTAGCTAGCGCGGTATACAAGTTTTTAAAAAATTCCATTCAAATTTCTATTTTCACGCGCTTTAGTAAACAGTTCTACAAGATTTATAACCAAACTTTTCTACTGCCCACTCATGTCCACGTATGACTCACCTTTCTACTGACCAGGTGTGACTCACCTTTCTACTGCCCAGGTGTGACTCACCTTTCTACTGCCCAGGTGTGACTCACCTTTCTACTGCCCACTCATGCCCAGGTGTGACTCACCTTTCTACTGCCCACTCATGCCCAGGTGTGACTCACCTTTCTACTGCCCAGGTGTGACTCACCTTTCTACTGCCCGTTGGTACCCAGGGTAGTTTGACCTGACCCTCATTTGGGGGTCAGCCAACAGCCACGAGGGGAGACCCCCAAAGTCCCACTCAGAACAGATGTACGGCCCTGGTCTAAAGATGACGAACAAACCCAAGTCTGCCGCCATTTTGATGAACTTGCGAAGGTCAAGGATGCCGTCATGTTGAAAATGTCCAGGCTTTGGTTCGTGTAGGTTCCAGGGCACGTAGCTAATTAATTAAAACACAGTTTTAGCTGGGTTTTTTAATTAATGGAACAAATAATGTTAAGCGTTACATTTTAAGCAATGTTAAAAACTATTTTAAAAGCCTCACCCATTTCTTCTAGAATGACTAACAATTAGTTCATTACATAATCACATCTCTATCTAGATACCCCTAATGATGGTCATTAAAACATAAGATGGATTGTTTGGCTGCCACTTTGTAACATGATATAGCCATACAGTAACCCTATGAGACCCACCGTATGGCTTACAGCCAAACAGACGAACATCTAATTAACATAATGACACAGCGACAATCTAAACGACAACTGAATTTCACTCTGTGTGAGTTTAATGATCCACTATAGGCCTTATGAGCGAGCTATTAAAATATGATGTCTATGGATGACTTAAGTACCCCCCCCCCCCGTATATAAAATGACCCACCCAGGACCCCTATGACCCACTCACGTCTCCACAGTGTTGAGGCCGCACGCCCTCGCCTTCTCTAGCCGGTCCTGCCAGTACTCAGGCACGACCCGGAAGTAATGGATCGCTCCACTGAAGATCCGAAATGGCTGACCATCCAAGAGAAATTCTCGTCTTTTGAACGACAAGGCCGCCATTCCTATTTTAGCACTGTCGGTATAGGAATGGTTTCAACACTGTCGGTATAGGAATAGTTTCAACACGTTTGGAGCCACCGAGATTTAGAAGCCTGCTGAAACACAAACTGTTGGTTAAAAACAGCTCATTAAATTATTCATTAAGTTAAAACGTTACTTAACCAGCCCACAAACGAGATAAGGGCATTGACTAGAACGTTCGAGCTAAGTTGTCCAATCCGGTGACACACAAAGGCAAGAGACTGTACTCTGGCATACAAATTACAATATTGGTAGCGGGTCTGTGATGGTTGCACCAAGATGGCCGCTAATCAATTATTCCACGTTGCGTGTTGCGCTTATTGGGAAAGTACAAAATAGAACTACCTTATTTTTCTGGTCATTTCATATAGGCTTTTTAAAGATTCACTTTTACTAAAAAGAACTTTAAAAAAAAGACCTTGAATTGGTAGTAAACAACATGTTGTCTCGTTTTCAAAACGGTTCTTTCTCACGGCTCCATGCACCATTAACCCGAAAAAGTCTTTATTTTCAACAATTGGTAAAAGTAAATACCGCGACCTCAATATTAGGTTTTTGTGTATCATATGCGAGATTTTTGTTTGCGATAGCAAATAATGTTTACACAATGACTTTAAAATTGCTGCACTTTCTGTCATTTTTCCTATCACGTGGGCTGAACTCACGTTTTTAAGTCACATGACGTATTTCAAATTGAGGCTCGGTCGTAAACATTCATACAACACTTTAAAATGTGATAAAAACATTTTCGAAATCTCCTTAAATGCTATCATAGGTGCTCTCGGAATGGGCATTAGCCGCCCATTTAGGAATAAACAGTTTTCTGTATTAGCCGCCCATTTAGGAATAAAGTTTTCTTTTTGTAGTCGGTCAAGGTTAGCATTTCTTGTCTGATGTTTGAACAATTTTTTTCTCTCTGTATCGCTCAATGATTTATAAAATATGAATCTTGTGAGAGGGAGGGAGTGCCAGGAATATGAAGCTGATGTTAAATAATGAACAGATGACAGCGGTACAGCAGTACTTGAGGCCAGAGAAACAGGACAAGCCTGGGGCACTGATGCTGGGGATTTTAATACATTACAGGTTGTACTGGTGTACTGGCGTACTGACGTACTTGTGTACTGGCGTACTTGTGTACTGATGTACATGTGTACTGGTGTACTAAACTGATGTACATGTGTACTGATGTACATGTGTACTGATGTACTGATGTACACGTGTACTGATGTAATGATGTACTTGTGTACTGTCGTACTTGTGTACTGATGTACTTGTGTACTGATGTACATGTGTACTGATGTAATGATGTACATGTGTACTGATGTAATGATGTACATGTGTACTGATGTAATGATGTACATGTGTACTGATGTACATATGTACTGATGTAATGATGTACACGTGTACTGATGTACATGTGTACTGATGTACTGATGTACATGTGTACTGATGTAATGATGCACTTGTGTACTGAGGTACATGTGTACTGATGTTCTGATGTAATGGTGTACTTGTGTACTGATGTACTAATGTACATGTGTACCGATTTACTGATATACTGGTGTACTCATGTACTGGTATACCAGTCTACTGGCATACTTGTGTACTGATATACTGGCGTACTGATGTACTTGTGTACTGATGTACTTGTGTACTGATGTACTTGTGTACTGATGTACTTGTGTACTGATGTACTTGTGTACTGATGTAATTGTGTACTGATGTACATGTGTACTGATGTACATGTGTACTGATGTACATGTACTTGTGTACTGATGTACTTGTGTACTGATGTACTTATTATGAAATGTGAACATTAAAGAAACAAAAAAAATTCATCGTGTTCCAGCACTGAGGCTATTACACCTATAATTAAGATTTTTTGCGTAACCATTGGTAGTAAAAAAAACGAAAAAAAAAAAAAAAAAAAAAAAAAAAAAAAACAAGCATGCAGTGACCTGATTCCAAAACTTGAATTGATGTAGTAGGCCTTGTACTTAGGTAAAAGGCAGTTGCAATTTGTGACGTAACTAAATATTGTTGTGTACGTGTACAAGTGCCGTACATAGTATATTCATTTGATGAAAAAAAAATTATAGGCTTCATAATATATTTTTCCCATGCATTTAATCATCATAAAGTCAGGTGTTTTTTTTTTTTCGTTTAAGAACTCCTCTCCTACAAAGGGATATAATATTTTCACTGACTAGGCTTTATAGACGGTAGTTTAGACTTGGGCATATTTATCAGTAGCCTATAAAATCAACACAAATATTATAGCCCTCAACTCTAGACTAAATTATAGAATTTCGGATCTGACTTGCAACTTTTTTAGATTTGCAGTATAAATACCCATGAAATTGTTTGGAGTAACAAGACTAATGAAACATACATGTAAATAAGCCTATAGATTAAAAAGTTCAAATAAATTATAAGCCTAGATCTTGATTAATAAATTACATTTAAGCCTAGCCAACATAATTATTTCATTTTTTTTTTGCTAGTGTAGTAACTTACGCATTAGTTCTTTCCCTTTATAGTGACGTCATCACATTTTAACTTCCGTAATTAGTCTTTCCGGTTTATTAAATTTGTTGACTGCTGTAAAAAGTTGTAAAATATTTCTTTGTTAATTTAATATTAGGTCAGCCTGTTGCTGGCACATGTACTCAACACAAGGCTAAGAAGTCACCAATGATACTGTGGATTAAGCTGCAGTAAAAAGGGTACTTGGTTTTCTTTCAATTATTCGTAGAACTCTAGATTCTAGATCTAGATTCTAGATCTCACGACTCACTTCTTTTTTCTTAGTTCAAAGTTCTTATGTCAGAGTCAGATAGTCAAAGTCAAATAGTAGAGTAGATTTCCACATGCGATCACACATAGCGAAAAATTCCGAACTCCGTATTTTCATCGGACGCTATTTTGTAAGTAGAGGAAATCTACTCTATTAGATCTAGAGTAGATTTCCTCTGCGCGGTCAAGCCACGAAGCGATCATCGTCGTCTGTTTATTAGTTTAGGTCTATAGTTTAATGCTTCGTATAATAAATAATAATGGTTTGGATGTTTTATACGAAACTACCGGTATCTGCTGTACGCATGTCCACTTCTCAATATATCCAGGTCAAATTCTTATGTTTTCTTCTTCTGGAAGACAAGTTTTTAAATTTTTAAGGTTGAGGTATGACGTCAGCCGGTGATCCCAGTTACCCCGGATCATGGATGAAAACACTAGGTCCAGGGTGAGATGAATAAAACCAACCAATCAAAGCTGTTTATAATTAGGTTAACTATAAATAGCTTCTACATATGTGCGGGACACTGTAAACACTATAGCTAAGGCTATTAAAGCAACCTGAGAGGTGAAATGGGGGTGGCCGCAGCTTGGATAACGATTAGGTTGATTTATTCTCGCCGCGTAATCAATGACTTGAGCTAGACTAGCCTAGATGCTCTATATTTCAAGCTAAGTCTAGAATTTGTAGCCTATAGTTTGTACATTTTTCTGTTGTTTTAAATTATTTCGATCATCTACTTCTTCTAGAACTAGTTTGTGTCTCCACATCTAAGCAAGTGTTAGGTTTTTTACTTTCTCGTATATACGAAGTATAGAGAAAGTCTTGTAATCGTGCAAAAAAAAAAAATCGAGATTTTTACAAATCTCGACGTTTTACATCTCACTGATACGGAAAAACATAATTTTGCAATCTTGTCTGTGTGTCTGTCTGTCTGTGTGTGTGTAAACAAGATTACTTGAGTACCGTTACAGCTAGGTTGCTGAAATTTCATATATAAGTATTTCATCAAAATCGTAGATCCGTATCAACTTTTGAGCGATTTCCGATAACTGGAAGTGGTACTTTTTCTACTTTGAATTTTTCAAAAGCCTATAACTTGAGTACTATTCTCTACCTTCTGTCAAATTTTGAGTAATTTCCGTTGACCGGAAGTACTAATTTACGCTATTTTCGATTTCTCAAAAAACTAATGTAAATTTATAAAGTACTAATAATATTGCACACTATTATGCACATTTTTTTTGTGTTCGCTTGGTGCGCAATTCTTTTTTCTATGAGATTCTATTCTATTTTTAAAAGTTTAAGTAATTAAAAATCATGTCTATATTCCAAGTTATATAAGAATATTCGAGAAAGTTTAGGGGAGATCACTCCCGGTTTATTCTTGTTAGTAATTGTTACGTCCCCGTGTTATGATTATTAAAGTTGCGTCCCTTGAGTTATCACTGGGTCATCCATGATGTGTAGTTAATAAATTTAAGTATGTTATTTTTTGAGAAAAATCACTCTAAATTAGTCTAAAGTATATATTTTTAGCCAGCTGATATAATTGTTACTATTTCTTTAACATATATTTTATTTTTACTCAGCACCCTCTCATGTGTGCTTGATGATGTCTAAACGTTTCTTTGTATCCTCATGACAATCTTTTAGACCTACTTGGGCTGTGGCTCTCAAGTATCTGGCTTAAAATGGACAAAGCAGCTCGAGCTGTCAGGAGGTACGTTTTGTTGTGGATCCTTTTTGTTGTTTGGCTGTATTTATCAGAAACATATACTGTATAACCTGTGTCATGTTAGTCAACCAACTTAATACAATTTTAAACTCAAGTTTCAATGTATATACAAATAGTTTGAATCCAGGTTCTTTGATATCATGTTATTAAGCAAGCTCTTGACTAGAGAACATTTACTTATAGAAGTTAGTATATTGTTGCAGGAGCAGCATCAGGCTGATGTCTTTGGGTGGAGGTCACACTGATCTTCAGGTCCTCTTATCAGAGGTCAAGGACATGCGCAACACTGCTAAGGCATTTATGAATGCTCAGAATGCAGGTACCAAAAGTCTTTATATTATATTGCTTGAAACCTAACTTAAGTGGGTTTTTTTTTTTTTATTTTAATTATTTTATCAATAATTGTTTCTTTTATTTATTTATGGTTGTTGTAATTTTTTAGTGTCTCAAGACTTCTTGAAATGGGCTGTCAATGAGGAGAACAGAGCTCTTCAGGACGTAGCTAACCAGCTGGCTGAACTCAACTTGTTGTGGACTGAAGTACAGAGAGAGTTTGGAGGTAATGGTTTGCTTGAGATACACCTACCCTGTTGTCTTAGACCATTTCCTCCTGTGTGACAGACTTTTATTCTTGCACAATTTGTTTCAGAACACTTGAAGGAGTACAGGTACATGTTTGAAATGATTTTAGAAGGGGAAAAGCATGTGGCACAATCCAAGAATAATTTTGTAAGTAGTAGATGTGTTAGTATACAACAGCACCTAGTCACATGTCCTTGTCTTTAATATTAAAAAGTTGACTTCAGTATGGGGTCAAAGTATTCCCAAGTTATTTAAGTTGTAAAATTAGGGACCAAAGTTTTATTTGACAAGATTTAAAAAGATGATTGATGTGGTTTGATGATTTTATTTGCAGGCAGCCTGCGAACAGCGTGAAATTAAAGTCCGCAAAGAATTAAAGAAGGCTTTCAAGGTAAGTTTTTCTATTGTTCATATAATGATGCATTGTAACATATCTGTTAATGCATGAAGTAATAATTCACATCTGTTGCTGCTTGAAGCAACAATAGATTGTTACTGACTGTTGAATAGTTTAAGTCCCTAGCTTAACTGTGATCTGGTGTTTTAAAATTGTAGAAGAGATCAAGCTCTGAGATTCAAACACTAGAAGGGAGACTATCCCAGGCAGAGAGAGCTAAGGACTTGGCACAGATTGAAGGTATTTATAGATATTTTTATTTAGTGCTTTGTGACATCAATCACAGAATTGTGTTATTTATCAGTATAGGAATTTGTCTGTACAATTGTTAGATTTGTTCAGGTTAGAAATCTTGAAATGTGGTTAAAGTTTGTACAAATATAACACTTGTATGCAGTCACTGACAGGATCAGAGAGAATGAAGCTGTCAAGCTTATAAGGTTGAAGGAAGGGCTGATGAAACTTTCTCAGGCCTACTCAGATTTTGCCCGCAAGTGTACTGTAGTCTTTGATGCCCAGCAAGTGAGTGGTATTTGTTTTCTTTTTACTCTTCCAATATCTAGAGACTGGTGAAATTTGTTATTATCTGTATGTTGTTCAATATCTGCAGTCTAGAGTAGCTTTGTTCTATCTATAACATGTTCAGATATCAGCAGACCATTATGTTGTGACTGAATACTTTTTTTTTCTTATTGTAGGATATTGTGCAACAACTCCCAGATGTTTTAGACCAAGACCTGGAAGATATCAAATATACAGGTTGGCTTAGGAAATTCATTGTTGTTTTTTTATATACGTGTTGGCTTAATGTTAGACTTACATTAGCTGTGTAATAACATTTATTAAATATGGGTGCATACTTTCATAAATGTCTCTTTGTCTTATATTCACTAATATATTTCCTTAATAAACCATTTTTTTGCTAGGTTTTAAGATTACTAAATGCTTTAAATTATAATTTCTGTACTTCACTCACATGTAGGTTCAGGTGTAACCAGGTTTAAAGTGCAGCAAGCAAAAGAAAAAGTCCACAGCTATAGACGAACCAGAGAGCATTACTCTATACACCAAAAGTTTCGTAAGTCGTTTCAAATCAAACTTTTAAGTGTTTACACAAGTTGGCTTGTTGGAATGTTTTTGCTCAGGTTAATAAAACAAGTTTTCTGTTTGAATGAGTGCTTTCCTCTATTGTTCAGACCAGCCACCTCCCCCCAATTTGACTGAGTGCTTTCCACTATTGTTTAGACGAGCCAACACCCCCATATGTTTAGACGAGCCAACACCCCCATATGTTTAGACGAGCCAACACCCCCATATGTTTAGACGAGCCAACACCCCCATATGTTTAGATAAGCCAACACCCCCATATGTTTAGACGAGCCAACACCCCCATATGTTTAGACTAGCCACCTCCCCGCTATTTGACTGAGTGCTTTCCACTTCAGACGAGCCACCTCCCCCGTACACTGCTAACGAGGACCAGTACAGTTCTTCCATCTACACATCCTCCCGCACAAGCTCCCCCAGAAGGAGAGTGACTACTGCTGCTGACAACCCACCAGCATTTGAGAACCACTACTCTAAGGCATCCCTGGCCCTTCAGGCAATGACCTCCCCCCCACCTGTGGCCCCTGAAGGCCCAGCTGACTCCATCATATCAATGCTTCCTGCTGCCAGACCTGATTCACCTGGCTTAACTTCTGCCCAGGTGCTCTCAACACCTGCTGTGCTTACCTCACCACCACCTGCGCTGCCTAAGGCAGACGACAGGGACCTGGTACAAGCATCCTTGACCTTGCCAGTTGGTCCTTCAGTCGCCAGATCTCACAGCGCTGGCCTGGTAGATTTTAACCCCGACTGGGACAACAGTTATGAAGAGGATCTGTCAGGGGCTATGGGAGGGACGAAGATTTGAGATGACTAAGGTAAAAGTTATGAGGGGGTGAGGAGTCTAAGGTGAGAACTAAGATTTTTAGAAGACTTAGGTAAAAGTTATGATGGGGTGGGGTCTATGGGAGGGACAAAGATTTGAGACGACTAAGGTAAAAGTTATGAGGGGGTGGGGAGAACTAAGATTTTAGAAGACTTAGGTAAAAAAATATGAAGAGGATATGGGGGGGGGGGGGCTCTAGGAGTGACTAAGATTTCAGAAAACTAAAGTAAAAGCTCTGGGGGGTGGGGGGGCTCTAAGAGGGATAAGTATGGGACTTAGCTATTAAGAGAATCTGTCAGGGGCCGTGGGGGAACTCAGATTTAAGGAGACAAGGAAATCTACTAAAAGGATCTATGGGGTCTACTATTATTTGATAAGACTACGACTTAGTTATAAAGAGGATCTGTTTGGGGCTATAGAGGGAGTTAATATTTGAGAATTCTCGAGTAATAGCTATGAAAAGGATCTCTAGATTAATATTTGAGAAGACAGGGGACTACAGCTATAAAGAGGATGTCAGGTGCTAAGTAATAGGATTTTAATGTAATATCTGTCAACTTTTTACAATGAAAGCTTTCATGGTTTTTTGAAGAGTTTATGTACTGAATCAAATACATTTATTTAACTTGTAGAAGAAATATGCATTATTATATCTGCATTTAATGTATGGAATAAGTAATGTTTTAAAACATATATTTTAAAAAAAAAAACATGATCTTTCAAGAAATAATAGTCTAATGCTGTTCTTTTAGTCTGTGGCTTTGATTTGTAAGAGATGTAATCAAGTATTTTCCTACTCAACATTGGCTACTAGGAAATAATTTTGTAACTATGTAAAAGTTAGACATACTAAGAGTATATATTTGGTTAAACATTAGCTTGCTTCTATTTATTTTATAATACTCCATACAGCTCTTTTAATCAGAAATTGAGTATATATTGACTATTATTTTGTACTCATATTTAGTGTAAATTGACTATACTGTGCGTTCATATATAGTATATATTGACCCTAATGTGTTTTGATATTGAGGATATATATTGACTATATTGTGGCTTGATTGTTCCAAGCTAATTATTGTTGTTACACTTTGTTCCTGTCCTCCATGTTACTCTTTCTTGATACCAGCAAGTTTATTTTCCAGAGACTTCACATGTATCAGAAACAGGTCGCTTTTCTGTTGAACTTTGCATTCAAGTTTGATCTTCTTCCCTCTCTACAGTTTTTATTTCTGTTTTAAATCAAGTTTGTTTAATGCAAGTGTTTGTATCCCCCCCCCCCCTCCAGTATTTGTCACTAAGTTTTTTGGTGAGGATTATACCAGTGAAAACTAAATTATATTTTATTTTGCCCTGTATTTTGGCTACTTCCTTGTTTACCACAGAATGGATGGATAATGGTGTCCCCAGTGGTTTTGTATCAACATTGTTAATCTTACACTGTATGACTAAACAGTTCTTTGTTTCTACAGTTATTTTTTTTGTCACCTGATTTTAGCAAAGCAAATATCTTGTAGTAATACTGGTTGTATGCAAGTATTACATGATTTGATATCTTGATTTTTTACACCATTGTCTTTTTTAATCTAATGACTCTACTTGCGAATCACATGATTCTAGTTTTTATAGGAATGTCAGCAATTCATTATAGCTTTTTTACAAGAATGTCATACATTAATTTTAGATTTTCTACATGAATATCATTCATTGATTCTATTTTTCTATGTGAATGCCATGAAATGATTATATGTTGTCTACATGAAATGTCATAAAATGATTATATTTTGTAGTCTTGAATGTCATGAAATGATATTTAGTCTACATGAAATGTCGTGAAATTATAATATTTTGTGTACATGAAATGTCGTGAAATGATTATATTTTGTCTACATGAATGTCATAAGTTGATTACATGAATGTCGTGAAATGATTATATTTACAAATATACCTGCAGGTAGGCTGGTGCTCCATTACTTTATTTGACGAGGCAAGATGCCTTTTGATGGCTCTTTGTTTTTAATATCTGTATGCTATTCTTCTCACGTGGGAGTTAATTTTTAAACATCATTCTATAAATAGTTTATATTGTTTCCTTCAAGCAATGAAGTGCTGTTTCATTATTTTGTCAGACTAATGTACTAAAGAGTGGTTGATTATTTTTAGCTTCTAGCGCAGAAGTTTTATTTTTTATTTGGATGATGAATAGTTGATTATTTTTTTAGCTTCTAGCGTAGAAGTTTTATTTTTTATTTGGCTGATGAATAGGTGATTATTTTTTTAGCTTCTAGTGTTGAAGTTTTATTTTTGTTTGGCTGATGAATAATAGTTAATTATTTTGCGCTTCTAGCATAGAAGTTTTATTTTTGTTTGGCTGATGAATTATAAATTTGTTTTTAGCTTCTCGCATAGAAATTTTATTTTTGTTTGGCTTATGAATAGTTAATTATTTTTTAGCTTCTAGCATAGAAGTTTTATTTTTGTTTGGCTGATGTATAGTTAATTATTTTATAGCTTCTAGCATAGAAGTTTTATAATTGTTTGGCTGATGTATTTGTATGACTGAATGGACTCCCTTACTACAGTACTGCCATCTTGGAGTGAAAAATTTATCCCTTAAGCTCAGTTTGATATTTCCTATGGTTCCCTTCATTGAGAAGATAACACTGGATAAAATTTGTTAAGGATGTTACCAGTGAATAGAATGTGTGGCATTGTCCTGATCTCTTGGTTGACTAGCTCACTTGCTTAAATAATAGAGTTTTCTAATTTTATGTTTGCCAATGAGTTAAGCCAGTCATTGTATATTTCTTATATTTCCTGTCATGATATTATTTCAATCATTTTAACTCAGATTATGTGATGACCTTTTCCCCCACGTCTAATTAAGTTGTACATGTAAAGGGAGACAAGACAGGTGATCTTGAATTGAATTTGTATTTTATTTTCCCTGAATACTCTAAATTGTCCTTGATTACCAAATTAGCAAGAGAGTCTACTACAAGCTGTGAGTCACACCTGGACTATCTAGTCTTCTGGCATAGATGTGATTGAATTTTTTTTTTCTTATTAATTATATTTATTTTTTATATATCAACACAGGTACAAAATGTATCCTTCCATCTCCTCATCCCAACAAAAATTTTAAAAGTAAAACATGCTAAAATGTGTATCTTGTTGTCTTGTTGTCATTGAAGATTCTGGTATTTTAAATTACAAAATTAAAGTCAAACAATAAATACTTTTCATGAAGGTAACAATTTTATTTATTATAATACAATTACGGACTAGATAGTCATGCAGTAACATCATATTTCAGTGTATTTACAACTTCCATTCAATCACTTTAACAACAAATCATAAACAAACCAAATCAAGGTCTGGGTTTATATCGGTGGTAGAGGGATAATGGCAAGTTCTCTATGTAGGCTTTTGTAGGCCTAGTGTTCTTTCAGAGGGTAGTGTGGCGGGATAATTTGTTTTGTGCTGTAGCCAAATTTATTCTGTGATGTTGTATTCTGTTTTGTGATGAAGTAACCAAAGTTCTTCTGTGACATATGCATTATGTGACAGTGGCCATATGCATTATGTGACTGACTAATGATGAGAAACTAAATGTTTGTCAGATACGCCAGAAAATTTCATTGAATGAAAAAATCCCAATGAAAGCCATTTCACAGAGAACATGTAAATATCAAGAGGAATTCCCGATTTTGTTCAACATCCGGTTAAACACGTGCTTGACCTGCTGGGCAGACGAGCGCCTCCTGCCCTTACTCTCCACCATCTTCCTCCTCTTGATGTCCCTGTGCAGCTCATTGAACACCTCGGCTATTTCCTCCCCGCCATCGCTGGCAGACGTCTCGACAAACCCACAAGACATCTCCTGTGCCAGACTCTCGCCTTCGTCTGTCCCCACCCTCCTCTCGTGGAGTAGGTCAACCTGTGGGGGGAACACCATTTTATACAAAGTGAACCACGTTTTATACAATGGGAATCACATTTTTGCAAGATAAACCAAAAAAAAAAAAAAAGTAAGTTGACCCTGCACCCACTCTATTACCCTATACCCACCTTTGTTACCCACTAGCGTACACATAACGTTGGCCCTATACCCAACTTGTTACCCACCAGCGTACACATAACTTTATACCTGTACCCACTAGCGTACACTGAACGTTAGCCCTGTACCCACCTTGTTACCCACTAGCGTACACAGAACGTTGGCCCTGTACCCACTAGCGTACACAGAACTTTGGTACCCACCTTGTTACCCACCAGCGTACACAAGACGTTGGTCTTCTTGACCTGGTCCAGGTGCTGCTTGATGACCCCCGCGGCCTCGAAACTCTGACGGTCGTTGATGGCGTACACCAGGACAAAGCCGTCTGCCCACCGGATGTTGCCCTCGTGCTGGATTGTCTCCTCCTGAAACACGGGGGGGGGGGGGGGGGGTTGACACTTTTGAAAGTATATATTTTCTATATATTTTCCATATTGTTCGAAGGTGGGGGGGGGGGGGTATATTTTCTTCGCGGGGAGAGTGGGGGAGAGAGCCCCCCGAAGAGATGCCTGAAAGAAGCTCATATTCCAGTCCTACTCCTGTCCCAGCCTAACCATGGCCTCTCTGTTGTTCGCGATCCGCCTCTAAGAATTTCCTGCCCACTGCAATTTCTTTTTCGGTTTATAAAGCTCACGATAGATAATCCGAAAGTCTCGAGTTAACCTCACGTAAAGCTCACGATTGATAATCCGAAAGTCTCGAGTTAACCTAACCTAAAACTCACGATAGATAATCCGAAAGTCTCGAGTTAACCTCACCTAAAGCTCACGATAGATAATCCGAAAGTCTCGAGTTAACCTCACCTAAAGCTCACGATAGATAATCCGAAAGTCTCGAGTTAACCTCACCTAAAGCTCACGATTGATAATCCGAAAGTCTCGAGTTAACCTCACCTAAAGCTCACGATTGATAATCCGAAAGTCTCGAGTTAACCTCACCTAAAGCTTACGATAGATAATCCGAAAGTCTCGAGTTAACCTCACCTAAAGCTCACGATAGATAATCCGAAAGTCTCGAGTTAACCTCACCTGTCCAGCTGTATCCAATATCTCCATTAGCGTGGGCTCGTCATCTAGCAGGGTCTGGTGCTTGTACGTCCGTTCTGTAAGGGGGATATATATATATATATATATATATATATATATATATATATATATATATATATATATATATATATATATATATATATATATATATATATATGAATTAATTGTTTAACAGCCGTAGGTGCCTTAGATATTAGTTGTAAATACTTATAGTTATTTTCCGACCACGCCAGCCCATAAGACGGCTACATAAAGGATAATGAACCACAACAGATCTAAAGCTTACCTAATGTAGGGTCATACTCCCATATAAACCTGTTGGTCAAGAACCTCACAATCAAGGCTGGAACATAAAAAAGTTATAGTTGTATTGTATTTATAAAATTTTATATATATATATATATATATATATATATATATACATATACATATATATTTGTGTTCTATTAAATGGTGTCACGTTAAATACAGTTATGTCATCTATCTATATACTACTAAAAGTCAAGTTTGTTTACATGTTTGAATATTTATTTGTTTGTTTTTTTGTTTGTCCGATCGAGTATTGTGATATATTTTCTACTCTATCTGGAGAGCTGTAAAATAGTATGTAGGTAGAGAATAATTTTTTAATGCAGATAGACTGTTAATCACAAATTTATTTAAAGACGTTAATTAATTTATTGATTTATTCATAGGTAGATTAACCCATTTTTTTTTAAAATGTTAAAACATTGACTAAACTTTGTGGGAATAGTGACGTCCCTTGATGTGCTTACTTTTTGGTACAATAAAAATGGCGGACTCCATCATAGACTTTGTGGCCCATTCAAAAGTTTAACGCGTTACAAAGCTAATTTTCTGCCGGCTATAACTTAAACAATACGTCCGTTTGCTGTATTTATTACGTTCCAACACTTATATCAATTTTAAACTGTCTTTTTTCATTTAGTTTTACAATAAATTTCTCTAGATCTAAAGATCAGCTGTCGAAGGAAAGTTATGAATCTAGAATCTAGCCTAGGGCCTAGATTCTAGATCTAGATCTAGATCTAGGTCACTAGACTCAATGTAAATTCTAAATCTAGACTTAATGTAAATTCTACATCTAGAATCTATTTCAGGCCTTAATTATTTTATATAAATCTTTGTTTAGCTTCAATGATCATCTAATTCGAGAATACATGGGATTTTTTTGTTATCTAGGTTCTATATCTAGATATAGTAGGATTACTCCCTAACTTGGAGGCGTGGTCGGCTGCTAACAACAATACGGCGTACGGACCGGACGCATGACTTCCGACCATTTTTTAGTTTACCACGAGCAAAATGGCGGGTGTTCACATTATTTAAACATGGTATAGGTGGCCAGGGCTAGATATGCCAGAAAAGCATTTTAAAATTTGCTTTGGAGAATGAAGGCTAAATTTTAAAGTCAGTGTCATAAACATTAATAGAACTTTTTTTTTTTTTTACGTTTTCAATTATTTTTTCATGCCCTATATGTGAATGATAAGGTTGACTATCAGGACCTCGCGGGGCACAGGGCAGGTGAAGTAGGGTTCATCTGTTTCTTTGTCCTAAGCATATGAAGGGATAGTGTGGTCAGAGACATGCTCGGCTGGAATCGTTTTTTAAACGATAAAAACATGTTGTCTGAGACTTGGCGGGACACTGGGCAGGTGAAGTAGAGTTGAGTAGGTCACCTGTGACGTCAGCATATGAAGGGATAGTCCGAAATCGGTGTTTTCGGTGTTTTTAAAAGATAAGAAACATATTTTTGAATGTGGGGTCTGTTTTTTGTGACGATAAGTGACACTGCAGTAGCGTAGCAAGGAGGGGGGGGGGAAAGGGGAGGCGGGGGGAGGTGGAGGGGGGAAGGGGGGGACATATGTTGGGGCGCCAAAATGGTTTGGAAAAATAAATTGAAAGGTTGAGGGGGGTTCAAATCGAAAGTTTGAGTGGGGGGGGGGGGGTGCACATCAAAAGTTTGAGGGGGGGGGGGGGGGTTGAAAATCGAAATCTTGGGGGGGGGGGGGGGTTAAAATCGAAAAGTTTGTCCCCGGGCGCCGGGAAGGGTCGCTACGCCTCTGAGTGACAGACGTGATGTTTTTTGATGGATGACCCCCGAAACCCACAGTTATCCAACGGATGAAGGGTAGTCTAGTTATATTTAAATCTTAACTCATAGCCAGTTACCTGTAACACATCTTCAGCAGCAGATTAATGCTGCCTATTGCAGACATTCTTTAATGACCCCCCCCCCCAGTCTTTAATGACCCCCCCCCCCTCCACACCCACAGATTTAAAAAATGAATGAATGTGATGTAATGTACATGAACATGCACCGAAAGAACCGAGTCTGCCCCTGCTCATGTAATCTAAACGATTGCTTTTATCATGTTCATAAATAAAGAACCCACATCTAAGTCATGTTAACTGTTTAGGATTATCTTCACGGGGAGTCAAAACATTTATTAACTGTAGCCATGGCGGTTTCTGACACATAAAAAAAAAATCCCGCCTCGAAAAAAAAACAGGACGTTAACAGGTTGTGGGAAGATATCACGTGGTCTTTAAGGTGTAAAGGGTGAAGGTCAATGACGTCACGTGACGGTCACGTGAGTTGTTCCACGGTTTAGTGAATGGCTATCTTGTTTTATGACACGTTTGTCTCGTCACGGTTGAGTTGGCAAGTTTAGTCGTGGCTTGTAGCTGGCAAGCTACAACACCCCTACCCCACCCCTACCACACCCCTACCACGCCCCTACCACGCCCCTACCACACACCTACCATACCCCCACTACACCACTACCACAACTCTACCACACCCCAGCCACACTCCTACCACACCCCTACCACACCCCTACAATACCCCCACTACACCCCTACCACACCGCTACCACACCCCTACAATACCCCCACTACACCCCTACCACACCCCTACCACACCCCTACCACACCCCTACCACACCCCTACCACACACCTACCATACCCCCACTACACCACTACCACAACTCTACCACACCCCAGCCACACTCCTACCACACCCCTACCACACCCCTACCATACCCCCACTACACCCCTACCATACCCCCACTACACCACTACCACACCCCTACCATACCCCCACTACACCCCTACCATACCCCCACTACACCACTACCACAACTCTACCACACCCCAGCCACACTCCTACCACACCCCTACCACACCCCTACCATACCCCCACTACACCCCTACCATACCCCCACTACACCACTACCACAACCGTACCATACCCCTACCACACCCCTACCATACCCCCACCACACCGCTACCACACCATACAACATATTTTCTCACGAGATTGAAGCAGCAAGACGAGACTAGCGTGATCCTGAATGATGCCATTGGTTGGAAACGAGGCTAAAACGGGTTATCACTTCCGCTGATAGCAGCAGGTATCCCCTCCCCCCTCCCGAAACCAGGTTGACGTAGACCACAATTTGTGGGGGGGGGGGGGGAGGGGCAAAAGGACATGCCACCCCCACCCATCATTGCTGCTATTAGTTTTATCGCGATTATAGCGGTAATATTTTAAAATACATAAAACCAAAAACTGTTAAATAGTTTGATGTTCATTTTAAATACCTTTTGAAGATTTTCTGCCTGTGTTCAGTGGTGCTTGGCAGTGTTTCTTTTTCTCCGGGGGGAGGGGCAGACTAAATTTTCCGTGGGGCGTTCGGGTGGGGAGGGGCGGGGGGGGCGGTTGTGCGTTATTCTTAAGGAGGTGGGATGCCTAAAAAAAACTCTGGTGGTTGGTGTTGACGTCACATGCGTTCACTGGTGGTTGTTGGTGTTGTGACATGTGTCAAACACATAAGAACATGTTATGTCAGGCATGCGCTCTAGCATTATTTAAGTACCCCCCCCCCCTCCCTGTTATTTCCGACATACCAACTATTTTATTCTCTTGTTTAATATATTTCTGACACCACCAGTCAATAAGATCTGATCACTAATTAATTAATTAGCGCCAGTTACATTTCCCTACCATACCACCCTCAGATATCAACAAGTTGCAGTTGGCCGGGGTGGGGCACTTAACTGAAGCTCAAACATTTTTCTCGCAGGGCCCTGACTACAAATAGTCTGCTCGATAAATAAATGTTGCTCATTTACCTGTGCCTTTTTAAACCGAGAGAATGAATTTTAAAAAATCAGTTAAATATTCAAGGGAAATTTCTGTGCAGATTATACGCCAACAGTTTCTCACCCCGGCTGATAGTAAAAGCCCCTCCCCACAATTTGTCAAATCAATTATCAGTGAACTGGAGGAGGGCATTGTGGTCATTATGATTTTTTTTTTTGTAGACATGGAGATCGATCTCCATAGAAATCAAATATTTTTCCAGTGTTTTAAAAACCATTGGAGAAATCATGTTGTGCTGATCTTGACTTTAATTCCATGATACCTTCAACCCAAAATCTTGAGATTTAATTTTAGAAATCGTCTGCTGCTCATCCGTTCTGTCACGTGGTTAGATCTATCTGTAGGTGAGCATAAAACTTGTCGTGTGCTCGCCAAAAGTCGGATAAACCAGGGATAAACACGTCTATTTTTGCCAGGAGAAAATGGCGATCTAGTACGACTAATTGCAGTAATGATTTCCCTAGCACAGAAATCACGTGACTCCCGTTGCACAGAAATCACGCGGGCTGATCTTAAGCTGTTGTTGCCAAGTACCACATTCGATTTGTTTTTATTTAAGATCTGGCATTCTTTAGTGTGGTGAGGTCTTTAAAAAATAAACACATTTGTTAACAGCTCAACGTAAATATTTAGTTTTGGTCCTGTGACCTCCCAAATCATGTATGGTATACATGTGGCAAGTTGGTATCTTTTCTGAGCATGGGATAAATCAGCCGCCCTGAATTTTACAAATATAATATTAATAATCGAGATAGATAAGGAAACAAGTGTTGGTTTGCATTTTGTTATACGGCTCTCTCCTGCTCCCTGTGGCAGCTGGTTGTACCTGCTCTGTATTGCGACACAGCTACAGCTACAGCTACAGCTACAGCTACAGCTACAGCTACAGCTACAGCTACAGCTACAGCTACAGCTACAGCTACAACTACAGCTAAACCATAGGATAGAAGCATGTGCGGGTCATGGTCCTGTGATACTGTGGCACAGAGCACTGTGGTTCTGTAGTACTGTAGTACTGAGGCTCAAGGGTACAATGCTACCCTGATACCTAGTACTGTAGTACTGTGGGACTGTGGTACTGTAGCACTGTAGTACTGTGGCACTGTGGTTCTGTAGTACTGTAGTACTGAGGCTCATGGGTACAATGCTA